CCCCCCCCTTTCCTGCCCTGCCAGTGCTCGGATCAAGGGTCTGGTAGGATTTTGGGGGGAACCCCATGCACTTTTTTTTTGTTTTAACTTGGGGAGGGTCTCTCCTAACATTCCTACCAGACCTAAAGGGTCTGGTATGAATTGGGGAAGGGGGGAACCTCACGCTTTTTTCATCTTCTGCAGACTGTAAAAAAGAAAAAAAAAATTCTAATGTCACTTTGTTGCTAACAAAATTTCGTCCAATAAACGAAATTTCGACCGGACTACCGGGAATTCGGATTCGGGGATGCATCCGAATCTCTGAATTTTGAAAAAATTTGTCCGAATTTCGATTCAGAACGAAATAAATCGCACATGTCTAGTGATAGCAGCATCAGCAATAAACTTTTTACGGTAAACTCCAAAACAAAGACCAGAGTCCATCACCTAAAATTGGTGGAGAAAAGATTTCATCACAAGGGGCGTAAGGGGTTCTTCTCAGTTAGAGCGGTTAGGGTCTGGAACTCACTGCCGCAAGCAGTGATTTCAGCTGTGTGCAATCATTCAAAAAGTGTTTGGCTGATTTCCTCAGGGACCGTAACATGCAGGAGTACAGGTACACATAAGAACATGATCACACATGTACTCATACACATGTAGAAGCACATGCATACACGCAATAGTTTGGACTTGATGGACCTGTGTTTTTATTCAACCTCAAATACTATGTTACTATGTATTGTCTGTGATCTCCCTGCAGCTGATCTTTTTGGCTGATTGCATGCAGCCCAATAGGAAAAAGTCACTCAATATCGCAAGTCGCGCAATATCGCTCAATATCGCAAGTCGCTCAGTGTGAATGGGGCCTTTGATTTCACACTGGGAATACCTAGACACACTCACATACTAGGAGGTACTAGACATGTGTGATTCGTTTCGTTCCGAATCGAAATTCGGACTAATTTTCGGAAATTCGGGCATTCGTATGTATCCGAATTACAGATATAACGAATACAAACGAATCCGAATTTCCGTTTCCGTAATTCGTTAGCGGTAGTTCGTTCGAGTGTTCGTTTCGTTTTCGCTTCTAATTCATTTCGTTCGTTCGTTCGTTGCAGCAAAGTGACATTAGAGAAGGAGAAAAACATTTTTTCCCCCTCAAATGTCACTTTGCTGCAAACGAACGAATGAATGAACGAACGTTCAAGCGAACTACCGCTAAAGAATTTCGTCCGAATCCGAATTGACTTTCACACCCGAATCCTGAAAAACTAAATAACACAAAATCCGAATCAGAACGATACTAAACGAATTTTTTGGCAGTGCACATGTCTAAGAGGTACACTTTTCATGGCACCGCTTATACACAAATACCATTTATGGATGTTCCCTATAATATAGCAAAGCTAAACTTTTTGAATTGGGTCCACTTTAGAAATATGCAGATATTTGAATGTCTACAGCCTGATCACAGGTTTAATGTAAGGCCAGTGTCAGATAGGCAGACGGCCCAATGAGAGAAACAGGCAGTCAAGTAAGACATATGGCGGGCCATCCTTCATATTGCCAGGGTATTGAGACCTTCCACACACTCCTGCTGGACTCCGGTGATGTGATGAAAGTCTACATAGAAGATGGAATAATAAGCACTAGGCATACACCGATACCGGTATTGGTATCGGTGCCGATACTGAGCATTTTCACTCATACTCGTGAAAATGCCCCGATACCCAAAACCGATACCAGCGCTTTAATTTTTTTGATCGAAGCAGCTGTCTTAGGTCTGGCACTTGCTGGGGACCTCATGGCAGCCTTCTTGGGAACCACAACGCTTCCACTGGCCCTCACATCTTCCCTTCCTAAGACAGCCCGAGACATATACATATAATATTATTCTGCATTGCTTTATAATGTATTGCTAAGATTTGTAGTCCTCTATAGCTGATGATATTATTCTGCATTGGTGTATAATGTATTGCTGGAATTTGTAGTCCTCTATAGCTGATGGTATTATTCTGCAATCTTGTATAATGTATAGCTGGGATTTGTAGACCTCTATAGCTGATGGTATTATTCTGTATTGCTGTATAATGTATTGCTGGGATTTATAATCCCTCTACAACTTGGAGTCATTGGCAGAACTACCAGGGTCATAGCTTCAACTGGGCCCTGGCACTCCACCACTGTCCTAAAATCATTAGTTTGTATTGTTTTAAAGAAACTGTCACAAGGACACACGAAAAAAAAGGTATCGGTAATTTGTATCGGCGAGTACTTGAGGAAAAGTATCGGTACTCGCACTCAGTCTGGAAAAGATGGTAGTGGTGCATCCCTAATATGCACCCCCGTCACACAAATATTTCCAACATATTGGACATTTTTATGTGTGTGGTAGTAAACATGGTAAGAACTCATTATATCAAAGCTCCTGAACTCCTTCACAGCCTCATAATCAGTTGTCTTTCATGAGTTTCATGAGTTATGTTTGAGCTGCTGGGATCACTTACTCTATGAGCAACCTAAAGAGTCTTAAGTTTCAAGAGAAATTTTTATTTTTCTCTCTACCAATGCTAAATTATGTAACAGAATAAAATTTCAGCAGCGAGACTTTTCTCCCTGGTTAATTTTAGCTCACATCACAAGTAAATGGCCCAAAATAAGTTAATACATTATATGCAAAACAGAAACAAAATAGTAGAAAACTGGGTCATGCTTTAAAAAAATAAAACTAGGGCATTGTTACACATATGCCAACTGTCATTTCCATTTCTAGCCTTGGCGCAGTGTAGAGTAAAGAACAGTATTTGATCAAAAGGACTTAAAGATGAACTCCGGGCAGATCTGAAGGGCACAAGTGAATTCAATTCTGTATTCATTAATACATCATTAAATGTATTTTTTTTTTTTTTTTACACACAAGCAGTGTCGGCTGAATTAGGGCCCAGTCACAAAGATAGATAGAGCAAAGTAGCGTTCTGGTGCGGGAGGGGGCGCGTCAGCGCCATTCATATCAAATGGCACCACAGATACGCCCCCCCCCCACCCACAGTGCGATCGCCTGCACCGTAGCGCGAGGTACAGGAATGCCTCGCGTTCCAGTGCAGGCAATCGCATTGCAGGCATGGGGGCGTGTCTGCGGCGCCATTGACATGAATGGCACTAACGCGCCCCCTTCCCGCCCCAGAACGCTGCTTTGCTTGATCTATGCAAACCAGTGTGTTCCGGGCACAAACTGCACCAGGACGCACTGGATATGGTGTGACTGGGCCCTTAGACGGACAGTTTTCCAACATCGATCCCAACCTCTCCTCCTTTTGTTAGCACCTACTCTTCAATTTGTATTCATCAGCATTTCATGTTAGCGGCAAAATCCCAAATTGCCAGCAACTCTAGCTGCAAATCACTGTTAATGGCCGCCATTAGTGCTTTCTAGAAGAAATTAATCTCTGCTACAAAATCGGTCATCAGCCTGAATTGGACCTGGTATCAGCTTCTTGCAATCCAATAAACAGCAGAGCTGTGGGCGGGAAAGAAGCAGCACAAGGAGCCAAACAGTTCATGTGATTTTTGACTTCCAAGTAAATTGAATTTTTACAGTGCAGGCTGCAAGATACTGTGTTTTTTTTGTTGTTGTTTTTTTTCCCCCAGTCATTTTAATTAAATATGTTTGAGTTACAAAGGTTACAACAGATAAAAAAGGAACATGATCACCCATGGGAGAAACCAATACACAGTAAGTGAATCAGGTGGGGGTGAATTCACTATACAACGTGGTGTGTGAGGTACGGATGCACCGAAATTTCGGCTGCCAAAACATATCAGCCGAAAATGGCACCTTTGGCAAAGTACTGTATACAGTATGTTTTACCTTTGCATAATAAAGAACAGAAAAAAATAGCAGGGAGAAGAAGTAAATAGAAATGAGGGAAAGGGTGTAGTATAGAAGAAGGTAGAAGTGGACCTAGAGGAGAAGGAAAATGGCTGAGGGGGTAGCACCATTGGAGGTAAACCAAAACACTCCATGCGTGTCACATGGGTATCAAAGTTCCAACAGATGCCGATCCATATCAATCAGAAGTGACATGTTTTGGTATGATTTATGAGATATTTCATATACAGTACATAATCAGAAAAACATTAACAAAAACTTACTTTGACTTCCACTATGTTTCCCTCGTTTGTTATGTGTCTTTCCACATAGCTTGAAGACAGTAAGTCACTGTAACAAAACAAAAAACCACGGTTATATTAACAAGACGTTGAAGTTATCAGAATGTGAACAGGTGGGGCATATTTATGAAGCAGTGAATCTGAGGTCCCCAAACATTCACTGCAGGTGAATCTTCCAGGTGCATGTGTTTTAAAGACACATTTTTTCTTAACCCTTGCAGTGGGGCTTCCCCCACACTGCAAGGGTTAAGTGCTCGTCTTGGTCTAGGTGCAAAAATAACAACGTTAAATTCACCAGAACCTTGGAGTTGGCCAGTTGTGACAGCGCTCCCTCCAGCCTGTCTCCTCCTTCGCTGCAACAATTAAATATCCCTTAGTGTCCTCACGTCCTATACACTGTATATAAGACGTGATGACTCAAGGATCCTTGGACTGCTGGAGCAGAGGGGCAGTAAGGCTTTAAGCACCGGTCTAAGAGCCAGCCGACTCGTAGGATCGGGCAGGGGCGTGCGGTCTGGGGAAGCAGGTGAGGTAGAGCCTCACCTGCCATTATGGAAGAAAAAGCTGTCAGCTTCCAGTCTGAAACTGACAGCTTTTTCTCCATTCAGCAGGTTACACAATGGGGAAAGCCTCCCCGCTGTGTAGCCTGTCATGGACGGAGTGCCGCCTGTTAATTAATGGTGGTGCTTCTTCGAAATTTTGACAGCTAAGTTAGGTTACACAGCAGCGAGCTCGCCACTCTTTTGTGAGGTCAGAGCTACAACAAGCCTCAGACTTGGAGTCAGAGGCTTGAGCTCTGCAGATGGGTTGGACCAACGGCAAAGCCCCATTGTGGTTTCTCTAAAGAGGTCTGACCGACTTCCTCCTTGACTCTCTAATCAGCAGGGAGCATGACTTTTAGTTTAAATCAGCTAAATACATTCCAGGTGCATGAAAACATAAGGTGAGTAAAGTCTCATAGTTTGTTTTGAGTAGAAAAGCCCGTCCCTTGCCAGCATGCTGTAGAGAAGATTAGTTGTTAGTGGGGGAAATGTATTCGAATTAATATCCCTGTGATATATGAGAGAGAGAGAGAGAGAGAGAGACTCTCTGGGTGGAAGCAGTGGTTTTTCCGCAGAGGTACATCACCCCGGTTCTATCAAAGTTTGTGACTGCATTAGAATGTGTGACCGGTCACGTGGTCACACATTTTAACATGATCCCGCCTATTTTTCCGGTTACACCGGCAAAAGGTGAAGAATTCCAACACTTTCTCAGCTGTTCCGGGGCAGATCAGCATCGCAGATCGTATGTGCAGGAGAACCGATCTGCCCTGAAACAGCTGATCGGTCCTGAAATGTGACTGACTGCGATCTCACATTCCACAGATTCGGATAGAAGTGACATTTCAGGACCGATCAGCTGTTTCAGGGCAGATCGGCATCGCAGATGGTATGTGCAGGAGAACAGCTGAGCGTTGGAATTCTTCACCTTTTGCTGGTCACATATTCCACAGCTGAAATAGTGGGCGGGATCATGTTAAAATGTGTGACCGGTCACACATTCCAACCCAGTCACAATCTTTGAAAGAACAACCCCCCCTGCTTAGGAAGCGCTAGAGCTCTTCAATCAGAAGGGAGCATGAGCTTTGCTGATTGAAGAGCTCTAGCTCTGGTTTAGCAGAGGGTGTGTCGGACCTCTGCAGAGAGGTCACTGCTTCCACACAGAGAAAAGGTTATTCTCTACAGCATGCTGACAAAGGACAGCCATTTCTACTCTGGCATTTTCGGCTATGGCTGCTTTATAAGGTAAATAAACTGTAAGACTTTGCACACCTTTGTTTTGATGCACCTGGACTGCATTTAGCTGACTTAAACTAAAACCTTAGTTGGGCTTTTACTTGTTTCACTTAACCATAATGACAAACTGGTCCACATTTATCAAAGTGTCTTTTAGAACAACGTCTGCTTTTTCCTATAGCAACCAATCAGATTCAGACCATCTTTCCTAGCTGTCATTTCCCTGTGCAAGTTTAAATTTGATTGGCTGTCCTGAGACAATACAGACCATAGTGCTATTTTCACTGAACGAGAGAAGGAGACAAGGAATCCTTTGGGCGACGTCTTGCTCTAGGGTTTCTAGCTGCACTTTTTATACATGACTCAACCATTCGGATATAATTAAGCCTGTTCATATATCATTTATCGCTCTCTGTATATTGAAATATTGTATTACTCAGTGAGCCTCTTAAATGTTACAAGCGCTGTAATAGCTAATCTGCAGGAGAATCAAAGTGCATTGAGTTTTGATGTCTCCTAATTTGTCGGTATGTAAAATAATTCATTCCTCAAGCTCAATATACTTATTAAGCATTTATAATCTGCAGTCAATTGCCGGTCCATTACCATTAATGCATTTCGAGGGTTATACTCTTTGATTGCAGCGCTATGCTCTCCGCTGTAAATGTACGGCTTGCTACCGGCTAAAATAAAGTGCAAAGTCACCCATCATAAAACTCACCGCATTCCAACATACTGTACACTGATGAAACCTTCACAGACCTGGTGTCAGCTGTATCCAGCAGTGTGCATTAGAGCTATCTGTGACACCAAGGAGGCCTGTCTTTAAAGGGGAACTATAGTGTCTGTGCATATTTTCAATTTTTACTTTAGTATTAACCTGTAAATCTAAACTTAGGCAATCAGTTTAAATACATATTATGGACCTCATTAACCTGCAAATGAATTTATATTTATTTCCCGTCAGTCCTGAGTTACAGCCAGCCCTACCTGACAGCAGTGCTAGGTTGACAACCTGACTTTAAAGCTGAACTCCAGCCATGCCTTTAGTCTTGCACAGTTGTACGGTACCCCTGCACTTTACAGTCTTGCATGTTGTACATCATACTCCTGACCCCTCCACTGTATATGCTACAATGTATGTTATACTCCTGACCCCTCCACTGTATATGCTACAATGTATGTTATACTCCTGACCCCTCCACTGTATATGCTACAATGTATGTTATACTCCTGACCCCTCCACTGTATATGCTACATTGTATGTTATACACCTGACCCCTCCACTGTATATGCTACCTTGAGTGTTATACTCCTGACCCCTGCACGCTATATGCTATGTTGTACGTTGTACCCCTGCCCCTGCACTCTATATGCTATGTTGTACAATATACTCCTAAACCCTGCACTGCATTCACGCGCACATCATACTCCTCTCTTCTGTCCTGTATACAGTTTGTTGTAGGTCATAATCCTGACCCCTGCACTGCATACGCTATGTTGAACATTATACTCCTCCTGACCCATTCACTGTATATGCCATGTTGTACATTACAGTCTTCACTCCATCCATTGCATGTTGTACTCCTGACCCCTGAACTGTATATGCTACCTTGTATGTTATACTTCTGACCCCTGCACTGTATATGTTACGTTGTACATTGTCATACTGACCCCTGCAATGTATCTGCTATGTTGTACATTATACCCCTGAACCCTGCACTGCATATGCTATGTTGTACATTGTCATACTGACCCCTGCAATGTAAATTCTATGTTGTACATTATACCCCTGAACCCTGCACTGCATATGCCATGTTGTACTTTGTACTCCTGCCCCTGCACTGTATAGGCTATGTTGTACATTATACTCCTAAACCCTGCATGGCATTTACTTGCACATTATACTCCTTTTTTCTGCACTGTATACAGTATGCTATACGTTACACTCCTGACCACTGTATACGCTATATTGTACATTATACTCTTCACCGCTCCACTGTATATACTACTTTGTATGTGGTACTCCTGACCCCTGCATTATATATGCTATGTTGTATGTTATACTCCTGACCCTGCACTGCATTCACTATGTTGCACACTGTATTGTATATTTCATTAAACTGGGCAACTGATTCCTACCTAGTTTTGTTACACAGGATTACTGACACCTACAAAAACCTTCAAACCACAAAAGGTGTCCCAGGACTCAGCGGAACAGGCAGTGTCAGATGATGTTTAATAAGTATTTCATGCCGAACCTATTTGCAATGTAAATGGTGTTTATAACAGTATTTTATGCAAGAGCAGTTGGGTTGCCGCACTTTAAATAGACTGTACAGACTAAAATTGTAGCCAGCTAAACAAATACATTAATCATTTTTCTAATACAAAATACCTACATGGCTGTGTTTCTGTCCTCAGTATGATCATTCTTACTGTTTATACAGTATTTTAATCTTAATTTGTACAATAGAAGAATGTAGAACCATGCCCATGTTAAATAAATGTCTGCTCCTCATTCATATGTATTCTTCACCTACAATGGCTTGCTGGACACCCAGCAAAAAATATATATATCTTTTTTAAATGTTGCCTCCTATGGTCCTGATGTCCATGAAAAGACACCAACATAAAACCAGCAGAGGATTTAAACTCAACCTGCTAAGAAAAAGAACCTCTCTAGGCGGGGTTTACACCTGGGCGTACCATAGGCGCATTTTTTCTGCTAATTTTTAAGCTAGTTTTTTGCGCGTTTTTTCGTTCAGTGAAACATGCGTTTTTATACCTCCCTGGCGGTATGATTTTTTTCCCCTTTATTTTCTCTTTTTTTTCGTTTTTATTTTAAAACTTTGCGCCGGTTCCACCCCCTTGTGACGCGTACGCTCGCAAGGGACAGAACCCGGAAGACGGCAGCGGCCGCAGGACACAGCGGGGATCGCGGACAAGGTAAGACCTGTACACAGTGGCTCGTGGTTACCGCTTTGTTAACCCCGAGCCACACTCGGGAATAAAATAGAAACACGCTGAAATACGCCCCAAAGAAGCTCCTGTACTTGTTTGGGCGTAGGGCGTTTTTCAGCGCATTTTCCACGGGCTGAAATCTGCCCAGGTGGGAACCATGCCCATAGGAAAGTATGGGATTTCACTTGCTGAGCGTTTTTCAGCACTTCGATCAGCGCTGAAAAACGCCCAGGTGTTAATCCAGCCTTACTGTATGTGCTCATGAATTAAAGACTGCTCTTGTTTTCTGTCCTAGAGGACACACCGA